AGTGTGTATAAGGGAGCATTTTCAAAAATGGAAAGAGGTGGGCAAGGTACCACTGTGTTTGATTTATTACATGAGCAATATCTTAGCAAATAGAAAAGTTAAGATGTTCTTATTTTATATTCTAGCTCGTCAGTATTGGTAATTTGAGTTTCTAATTCGTTTGAAACTATAGACTTAGTATTTTGACTTCACAAACACATAATTTGAACCAGTGCTGCATTCAATATATCACATGACACACAAAAATTTATGTTTAGCTGGTTTTTTAATATTTGCTTTTAAATTAAGAAATTGAATAACATATAGTACTAAAATTTGAATTACTATCTACAGTTTGTAACAAACTTATTGACATAAATTCATGAAATAGTAGTTGAATAAAATTTTGAATGCAAGTCAATAAACGAGATGATAAGGGATTTCTCCCATGACCTGTCTTGAAAGGGTTAAGAAATGCATAGATCGGTTTATGTGGAGTCAAAATTTTAATGTCTCTTGATTGTAATGGGCCATGCAAGCTACATAGCAGACACTTATTTTAGGCCTGCTAGCATTTTGGGGGCTATTGGCTTCCGGGCCCACACTAATTTCAAGCCCTGGAGTGTAATGCATTACATGAAATGCAGTAAGTGTAAAATATTAATAAAACACTTTTTTTTTCTAGATAGTCTTTATTGTGATTTATAATAATTGTATCAGTTGTATTAAACTTTTGATCAAAGAAGCTTAAAATAGTTAGATAAAAATAAATATTTTAAGCTTCTTTGATCAAAATTTTAATACAAATTAATTCACTGCTTTGCCAAAAAACATCTGCATCAAACAGAAATATCCATCATTGTAACCTGTCTTTCAGGGGTGAAGATAAATGGAAAGTATTACAGTCATTTACTGCAGTAATTGTTTCCTGTGACAGAACAAAACTTGTACAGTATTCTCAAGTGTTCTGATTTCTCTTGGAGTGATCAGTAGAATGACGAGTTTTTGACAGAAACTGAATAAATCTGAATTCTCCAATCTAGACTGAGCTTGAAGCCAAAAGAAGAATAGATACATTGTAAAACACAGTGAGACAGTGTTAAATATTCTCAAGAATACCAAAATCAAAACAAATGTTTTATGGCACCTTTAACAGAGAGTTTTCTTAAAATAAGAAGTAGAAGTGTGCTGTTTCAGACTGAGGAAACATAGAATTATTCGTGCACTACACATGTGAATGTTGGTCATTCCCTTCCAAAAATAAAGAAGGTTGCATTCTCAGTGTACCATCTGACCAGCCAATGGAAAAACTCATGGTCTACTTCCACATAGCTTGTTCTACTTTACAGGAATTCTTTTGCTTGAGAGAGTTCACGTGACACCCTACTTAAATTACCTAGTTCAATAGGTAACTAGGGTGAAAGGAAATTAGTTACTTCCTTGTCTGACATTCTAAGTTAAAACTACGTAATCTATACGTACAAAAATTTTGTTAATAGTTTTTGTTTGCTGCAATATTATTAGGAATTCCATGACCAACAACAAATGGTTGGTTGTAAATAACAGATAAATTTGTTTAAAAATCCAGCATGTGGATACCTTTGATAATTCTAGTGCTAAAGTAGTGAGATTGCTGTGTTTATTCTTTCTTGAAAGATTATTAATTGTTTTTTCTTAAGTATCATGTAGTGTACTATAATTTTTTTGTTTATGATGAACTGGTATTTTATTTTTTATTTGCTGTTCAAATTTGCCCAAAACTTTAAAAAAACTGCTTTTGGAATTGACAGTTGGTACAGTGATTAGCTTTGAAGGTTTTTGGTATGTAAGCTACTGAAAGCTTTATTGTTTTGATCAAAGTCGTTAAGGGTATATATTAGATAAGTTCTAACTTTAGCCACACTAAAATAAGGACTAATTTGAAATTATGAAGGAAAAAGTAAACTCAAGTAGATAGATAAATGTATAATACAAATTCTCTCTCACGTAAACAATTATAGAAAGTTAAAATGTGTTAGAAATATAGTAAGCAATCAATAAAAGCATAAGTTAAATAAACATTTTCCAAAATGAATGACAGTCAGTTAATTTTAAAAAAGAACAAAAAAAAAAACTCTGGATCTAACACTGTAACCTCTAGAAGTGAATACACCATATATCCTTTTTTCACATTTTAATTTGTTTTCCTTTAAATAATTTTTTGAACTATAATTCTCAAAACCTTACTTATTGTTGTTTGAAACTAATACATTTGTATAATGGTAATTGAGATTTTTATTTTCAAAACTAGGATATTTGTACTTGAGACTGGATGGTACAACCAAAGCTGAAGATCGAGGCCAACTGCTAGCAAAGTTCAATGATCCAGGATCTAAGTATTTTGTATTTCTTCTAAGCACACGAGCTGGTGGACTAGGCTTAAACCTGCAAGCTGCAGATACAGTTGTTATATTTGATTCAGACTGGAATCCACACCAGGTTATTGCATTCCTTTATATTAAGAAGTGTTTAAAAAAGACTAGTTCTTTCTCTGAATACTGTAAATTAGATTAGAATAGGTTGTAATAATGAGGAGATGCACCTTCATATCCAGAAAAACTAGAATGTTGAAATTTGAGAAATCAATAAAAAGTCACTTGAGTAAATGAAAAGCCCAACTGTACTGTTAAAATATGTTCTTAACATACAGATGTAATAAAACAGAGAATCTGCTGTATGATCAAGGCTGAGCTGCCCTTGCCTCTTCAACTCTTTTGATTAATATAACATACTTCACACTCAGCCAGAACATGAGATGTACTTGAAAATGTATAGTAGCTTAGAACAGTAACTTTGTACTTGTAACAGTAGAATTAGCATTAAATAACTTATAAGAAAATACTGTGCTGATAACTGGTTATTGAAATTAATATTAACGATGAGAAATAATTTTATCTTATTTTACTTATACTACTATTCATATAAAATTACTTTAGTACAAAAAATTCTTATTACTGGGTTACTTAGAGCAAGTAGGAAACCATGCATGAGATGGGTAGTTAGTTTCAGTTTAATCTTGCTTAATTTAAGGTTTTTAGAATTATGTTTCAAACTGTGCTTTAGTTTCAGTAATTTGATTTTTACTATTGCAATTAATGAAACACTGAACCATATAACCAGGCAGAAAAACTACCTGACATAACTAATTTGTAACAACTAGCCTAAAGATTGATTCATTTAACAGTGTTACCTGTGTTTGAAATAAAATGGACACCTTCCAAGTATAGAGCAATTGTATTTAAACAGATTTCACATATTTTTGTATAACATCTGAATGATTGATGTTATTTACATGAGGCTGATTTTCCTAGAATTTGCCTGTGGCACTACTCGCATGCTGGATATATCATTTTAGGTTTTATTTTAATAACCTGTTTTTCTTGTGTATATATATTTAATAAAAGCTGAATTATTGCAACACATAAATAAAAGAAAATATTCTGATACATCAACATCTTTATATATAAGCTACATGTATGTTTTAAAATAACTGATGATTGATAGTCATGTGATTTTTATGTATATTTTCATGCTTCTTGCATAGTACTTTTTTCCTTTACTTATATTCATTCTGAGAAGAGCTCACAGCTGGAAGTTAAGGAAGTTTATTTTATGCAGTTTTATTTATTTCAGATGTTTCCACTTTTGTTTACTGAACAATTAGTTTGACATATTTGTAACTTGGCAAAGCACTTATGAATTTCTGAACACAATTATGTGGAAAACAAGAAATAGACATTTTTACAAATGAGCATTAGATTTATCATTAAGCATGGTAGTACTTAGTATGCAGAGATGGGCTAAGAAACATATGGCTGCCACATTCAGTCTGTTACTCTCTGATGCTTACAAATAACTGCTAAAGTTGAGTTATAGCCTTATTTGAGCACCTAATTGCTATTATCTAGTGTGTCACAGCTTGAATAACAGTAATATTATTCTGACCTTCTACCACACATATTCTTGTGGGGAAATAATAAAAAGGAAAACTACTACTCAGCAGTGAGTTCAGTTTATAAGCATTTATTATTTCCATGATTCATAAATAACAGTTTCATTTATGATCACTAGATAGCAGCACAAAATTTTCTTATATAACGACCGTTTATGAATTCTAATTCACAAACGTATCTGCCAAAACAGTTTCAGTTAAAAAACAAAACGGAAAGAAAGAATAAGCTAAATTAATATTCAAGGTATCATGGAGATCAAGTATTTATGCAACTGACAGATCTATGTACATGTTATTGATGGTTGAGTTTTAAAACACCAGTTTCTTAACTATCAAAACAATACTTTATATAGTGATATACTTGAAATTTTCCATGGGTGTGTATACATGGTATCGTACTTCATGGTCTGGGATCTATATGATGTCCTCCCTGTTAATCGACATGATCCTAGTATGTGGTGGAGTCAGTTGTATGCACATGCAGTGAGTTGAGGGTGAAGTTGGTCCAGCACTCTACGGTACTTGTATCATCCTGGAAGAACCATTCCAGCTTCACTGGCCCCCAGTGTAATCCAAAATTAGAGAAACTGATTTGAACAATATATATTACCATTGAATTATAAAAATAAAACAAATGTTTTAAAAACAAAAAAGGGAAAACAAGTAATAAAAAAAATGTTGCAAAAATTAAGTATGATGTAGGGATGGCAGTGCCAAAAAGTCCAGAAACAAAGTTGGGATGAATACACAAAATCATACAGAAATCCCTACATAAGTAGCCAGCAAGTACTGAGTCAGTCTTACAAGTTTATGGTTATTAGCCACTGTAACACTGTCGAGCACTATTGAGTTTAATTGCTTTTATTGAAACCTCAATTCATGCAACTGACAGGAATTCTACACTTAGTTGTAGTTAAAAGTTATTCTTGAAAAGATTTGGCTACTTGTGTAGTGATTTTTATATGGTTTTGTGTGTTCATTCCTACCTTGTTTCTGTATTTTTTGGCATTACCATCCTTACATCATATTTAATTTTTGCAATATTTTATTACTTGTTTCCATAACAAATAAACTCTATGTGTGAAGACAGCCATTGACTGATCTTGTAATCACCATTTAATCTTGAAACTGTACATATTATAACTGAATTTACTAAGTATCTTCATGAAATTTAGTAAACATTAGAACACAAAAAATCAGTTTTTTTATTAAAGTATTTTTACTAAAGATTTATCTAAATTTTTGAAGCCAAGTCAATCTGAGCAAAGTGATTTTCATGTTAAGAATAAAATTACTTCTTTTCATCTTACAGTTTTAATATTTCATTTGCATAACTTCTAGAAGATCCTGTTTGAATATCAAAAGCTTATACTTTATCTCTTACTTTCTGTACTCTTACACTAACTATAGCAAAACCATCTGTAGAAAAAGTTGAAAAACATGAAAAATCAAAAATACAATTTTTCATGCTAGAATTGCTGCAGATTGTACCAGTATAATTATTTATCCTACAAAACCTCAGGCTTCTAACAATTTCACATCTACTTTCATTTGATTTTATTGTTTTATTGCTCTTTGAACTTAGTTCTACCCTGGTGAGTCACTAGTAAGTTGATGGAATCACAGTGCTAAAATCTGGGGTTCAATTCCGTATGGTGAACAGAGTGCAGATAGCCCAATGTGTAGCACTGACAAAACAGTAACATCATCTTTTAACCATGTTTAACTAGTGTAACAAAGCAATAAGTCACATGGTGAGAATGTAGGGCAAACAAATTATCAAGTTGCATTAGCAGTTACACGTCATACAATAACAGCTTTTGTACATTCCTCAAAGAGAAATTTTTTTATTTAAATTTTTCATTTATTTTTTTATCTAACGTAATAAGTTTCCAACTTTTATATCTTAGTTGCTTCTATTAAAAGATTTATAACAATAAATTAAAAAAAAATATATAAAAACCAAGACATTTAGTAATTACTGAAGCCTTGAGGTCTCTTGCACTCAGGTATGTGGTTTAATAAGCCTATTGTTTTCTTACTATGTTGGTTGTCCAAAAGTAATCTGTGTAGCTTTCAGATATGTATTTTAGAATACAAAAAATTCATCAGACATTAAAATTTCTCAAATCTATTATAATTTATCTCACTTTCTAACTAACCTATAATGAGAAGTCAGAGCATTCCTATATCATGTAACTCAAAAGTGCAGACCAAAAATGTATTTTAATATTTCTTTTAAAATTAAGAAATTAAAGCTTAAACGATGTAAAAATGTGAATCATAAACTGTGTTTAAATACCAAGTTTATTAACATACATTAATAGTAAATGTTTCAATTTTGTATGTAATGTTTTGAAAAGGTTGTGATATGTGCATTTTGACCCTCCCATATGCACAGGGTTAACAAATCTTTTTTTACGAGGATTTTTTTTTCAAGTGATTGTTGTATACATACGATATGTCTATTCATTTGTAAACTATAACATACAAGCTGAAATACCCGTCAACTGATAGGGAATGTTTAAGCTTAATTAAAGCAATAAAAGTTTAACAGCAATCATATATTTCAAAGTAATACCTTGAACATAAACTTCTCAAAATTTTAAAATTATAACAAAGCTTTTGCAGTTTGCGTTCTGTCTACCAACAAATAAAGATTTTGAGGTGATTCCACCCTTGAACACCTTACATCTCACTAACCAAGAGAAATACATGGTTGTTTGAGAAACAATCCAGTAACTTTCATACCTTGACCTTTAATCCCTTTAGAATATTCAACATTGTTTAAAGCATCAACCTGCGAAGATTGTTTGACATTGGCTCAATAGGCTGGGAGTAATTAACCAACAGACTTTACAAAATAGAAATAAGAGTTAAGTTCAATTTTGACCCCTGAAGGACATTCCCGATAGTGTTTACATAGTTCATAGTGTTTACATACAAATTTTGTTTGAGATTGGACCAATAGGCTTGGAGGAGTTAGGGTGTAAGCAAACACAAATTTCATTTTATTATATATATATACACCTGGAAAAAAGTTAAGCACCCCCGTGTTTTTTCAAGTGATTCAGATCCGACGTTCTTGTGACTGATTATAAATTACCATTCAATCTAAACGTGTTTATCAAATGAAATTATGCATTATTGGGCACAAGAAAACAAAATTATCACCGTAAAATAACAATTTTTAATTTACATATCATGACATCAAAATATGGACAGTTTTCACGCTTAAATTTATCTTTAATAAGTATTGTCAGTGAAAGCTCAAAAACGTT